CCCCACCGGCGCACTAGCAAAGTCGAGGCCGGCTCCGCCCACCAGCCCACCAGCAAAGTCGAGGCCGGCCCCGCCCACCGGCGCGCCTACAGCAAATGGAGCCCAGTCACCACCCAAGGACACCCCTGGAACACCTGCTTCTGGTGACCAGGGGGGACTGCGCTTCTGAGACCCACAGGACACCCTCCGCAGCAGGCCACCTTCCAGCCCAGGAGATGTGGCTGAACTACAGAGACACGCACAGCGAGGCGGACACAACGAGGCGACGTGGGGATTACATTCCACACTGAAACACAAGACAACTCACTCAATTAACCTCTCGAGCTGACTTAAAGGGGCAAGGGGCGTGCGTATAAGCCTCCGTGCACACATACTGAAACTGCCTTCCAGAAAGGCTGCATTGTCAGTGCGCAGTGCTGGCCTCCTCCCAACCTGAGCAGAGTCCGGCTGGGGTGGGGGTGGGGGGTTGATGAGACTTGCCAGTGGGACCAAGAAGACCAAGTGTGGCACGGTGTTAACTGTTATTCCTCCAATCACTGGAAACACCGACCGGCTTCTCGGATCTTCGTGGCTCGTTTGCAGTTTGTATTTCCTGCCACTCATGAGCTCAGTTTTGTCTCGTGCCCGGCTGCAGAATCGGAGGCAGAGAGGCTGGAGGGACCGGGCCGCAGGCCTGGGGACGCTGGAAGACGCGCAGGGACCCTCCCGGAGGGACTCCAGAGGAGCGGGGCCCCGCCACCTATGCCTTGATTTTAGTCTCGTTAAGACTCCGTTCTGAACTCTGACCTCCAGACCCATGAGAAAATAAACGTGTGTCGTTTTCAGCCACCAAGCTGGAGGCCACTGCAGGATTGGAAACAAACATCGCTGCGTTTGAGCGTGGCCTCTGCCTCTCGTTGGTTGGGTCACTGGGGATTGGCCGCTTCAAACCCTGAGCTGCTCTTAGCACCGTCAGCCCGCCAGCCCCGGGGGGCAGAGGCCCGTGCTCACAGGGACCAGAAGGCAGGCAGCTGTTAACATTTCACGGCACACCGCGGGGGCCAATACGGCGGGTTCCAGGATAAGGCCCCTGTCTTCCAAGGCCCAGTGGGGAGGAGGATGTGCCACGTTTAAGCTCCTCGTGGGCAGCGGCCCCTCTGGATGTGGCCGCACAGGTTCCGGCGGCCGCCCTGTCCTGGGGGCTGCTGACGCCCGGCGAGGCCCAAGGGAGGCAGACTGACCCTTTTCCAGAGCGGGGCCCCCTCCCACCTCGCCACCGGCCATGAGCCTTCACCATCCCTTCTGTGCTGGCCCCCCTGGGGCCCGGGCCAGCCCACCTGGCCGTGGGGGTCCAGCAGCCCCTCTCCCAGGGAGGAGGCAGAAGGCAGGCCGTGTTCCCAGAGGCTTCGCCCCTCCTGAGAACTTCCTGTGTCTCGTAACACAGTGGCCCCCGTGGTCCAGCCTCACGGCTCACAGAGGAGGGGTTCCCAGGCTCACCCTGCCCTTGCCTGGAGAAGCTGGGCCTCTTTTGCATGACGCAGCGGCAAGAAGGGTCACGGCCCAGCCTCGCAATTGCTGAGCACACAGAACACGGATCAGCACAGCCCAGCTCGGGAGAGCTACCACGAACGAGACTGGGCTAGCGGGCAGGGGCAGATCCAAGACTTGGACCCACAACTCTTCTGCAAACAGCCTGAGAAGCCCTCTCGAAGCAAGGCGTGAAAATAGTAATTGCCTACTTCTCAAATGGGAAGCCAAGGCACAGAGAGGGTAAGTCGCCTGATCTAGGTCACACAGCCGCTCCACGCCGGACCCAGGGTCAGAGCTCACAACCAGCACACTCTAGCCTCTTTGAAATGAATCCACTCCATGTGAGAGGAAGAGGAGGGTCCACTCTACTCAGGGCCATCCAGGACACTGGTTCCCCAGGCTGGCCAGTATTCAAGCCACACATGTGGCTTGTGATAAACAGGACGCCTGGGCCTCCCCGCAGCCCAGGGGCTGGCATGAACGGGCAGCAGGGGTGGGGGGTGGTGAGCAGCAAGGTGGAAAACCACCCTCCCAGCCGGCCTGGGTGGGGCCCAAGCTCTCATCTCTCATCTCTCACGGGGCTGTCGGGGAAGCCACCAGCCTGTTCAGCCTGTTCCTAATGGAAGCAGGGGAGGCCCCACCCGGCCCTGCCCTCCGCCCTGCTCACACCTCCTTCCCGGCTGGTTTCTCCAGGCAGGAGGCAAGCCTGGTGCCTGCTTCCCGGCACCTCTGTTCACTCCCGTGGGCAGGCAGCCACGCTGGGATTTCTTCCTTTGGCTGGCGGTGGGGGGGAGGCTGGCGCCAGTCCCCTAAATACCCACCGTGAGTGCCCACAGCCCTGAAGCAGTGCCCAAGCAGCTCATCACCCCTCTACGTACCGGAAACGGAGCCCTCACGTCCGGTCAGGCCCAATCGGGAGACAGAAACCACGCAGAAGTTTGGACAGGGCAAGTTTAATATAAAGAATTACCAAGTCAACGAAGGCAGTAATGTTTAAAGAGTTTTCAAGAAAACCCTAGGGTCAAGGGCAAGTGCCCAGGGTAAAAAAATTCACCTGGAAGACATCCCCCTCTTCAAGGCTGGGATTCAGATCTTGCTGGAGAAGGCCCCCTGGATGGTACACAGGTTCTCTGGGTCGCCTGAGCCAATGTGTGCAGTGGCCAGGCACGCAGGCAGAGCCCTTGCAGAGGGCCGGCAGGCCGAGGCTGGCGGCCGGATGCTCAGAGGGCCGGACACGGGAGCCACGGCCGGTGCCGGGACCTCGGCATGCTCTGGGCGTGCGCCTTGGCTGTCCCCCCACTGGACCCCCCAAGCCGTGAGACCAGGGAATGAAACGGAATCACTGAGACTAGAAACAGAAGCCCCTTCTTGGTGCAGCGCGCCTCCAACTGATTCAGAGAGACTAAGTGGTGGGGAGCCGAAGATGTCCGGGCAGCACAGGAGCTCGGGCTGACGACACGGAGGACAGACGTCGTCATCGCGGGCTGCCCGAGGTGAGCGGGGGCCCCCACCTGCCCGCGGAACACGCGTGGGAAACGCTGGTCACTTCCACCGGTGGGCGCAGGCCCTAGAAACCCCCAGGGCTCGCCGAGGGACAAGGGGAGGGGACGCCCCAAGCGACGGGCTCTTTCCATTTGGCAGACGAGGAGTCGCAAGCTCCTGGGGGGAGGCGGGAGGCAGCCCCAGCAGGCCGGGCTCGGGGCCCCTCCCACGGGGCGGGGCTTCAGAAGATTCCGGGCAGCAGGCGGTGAGGCACGGCGGCGGTGTAACGCGCCCAGTCGCCGCCGTACTTGCTGGCACAGCGGTGCTCGTCCCGGAGGCAGCGGTGGGTCAGCAGGACGGTCATGTAGACGATGTAGAAGTAGGGCAGCAGGTGGCCCCCGCCGCAGGCCAGGCAGTAGGCCAGGCTGCCCATCAGGTCGCCCGTGTAGTTGAGGTGGCGGGCCACGCCCCAGAAGCCCGACACCAGGAGCTTGCTGTGGTGCCTGCGTCCGTCGGCCGACGTGTAGGAGCACTCGATGACCCTGGGCTTCCTGCCCCAGATCAGGCAGCGGCCGTCCGTGCGGCGGAACAGGTCCTTTTGATGGTTGGCCATCCGGAAGATGTAGTAGCCTAGCAGCCCCAGCAGCAGGACGCCCGCGGCGTGGGGGGTGGACAGCTGCACCGGGTGATAGACCAGGTACAGGCCCTGCGGGGCGAGAGGGAGCCGCACGGCCTGGGTTCGCATCCCCCGACTAGCCGCCCCGCCATCCCACACGCCGGCTTCCTCTTCCGTGAGTAAAAGCACCCGCCTCGATGCATGGCAAACGGATCCGCGTACCTACCTGCCTTCCCACCTGTCCGCGTACCTACACACACACGCTCACACACACGCACACGCACATCATATGTAGCCTAAGCGTAACATACAAGTATCATCTGAATGTAATTTTATGACGGTCCACTGGATGCCACCTTGGCGAGGCCACGGTGCCCAGATAGATGCTGGGAAGGTATTTTTTTTAGACAAAATAAAACTTAAACTGGTAGACTTTTGAGTAAAGCAGCTTGTTCTCTACCCTATAGGTGGGCCTCATCCGATCAGTTGAAGGCTTAAAGAAAAAAAAAAAAAGGCCAACCTCCTGCCAGAACAAAACTAGATTCCGCCAATAGACGGCCTTCAGACTCCAGCCGACTCTAACATGCTTGGACCGCCAACCTGCTGGCCGCCCTGAAGATTTCGGACTTGCTGGGCCCCATGATCACATGAGTTAGTTACTGCTTCTCTCCTGTGTGTGAATATGTGTATATATGTGCAAATATATACACACATACGTATACAGGCATACATTCAGTTGTATGTATACACATAGATGTGCATAAACACCCCATTGGTTCTGGGTGTGGAGAGAATTCTAACGCAGCTGTGATGTGATATGACACATGATGTGATTGATATATGATGTGATATATGTGATATGATGTGATGTGATACATATACGATGTGATACATGAAATGATACACATACAACATACAAAGAGAGGCCGAAACAAGGCCTGGTTCACAGTGAGAGACACAGATGTGTGATCACACTCATGATCTATGCACGTTTGTACATGTACACGTTTGATCTGTTATCGTTCTGTTCACAGAATCAGGGAGCCCGGGAACGTGCGAGCAGCCAGGTGGAGACACGGGTCCTGGGCAGACGGCGAGGGGCACTCAAGGGAGGACCTGGAGTTATAGATGGCACGGGGACAGGGCACCCGGAACCCCAGCCCAGCTCTGCTGCGATTCCCCTGCTTCCCCGGGGGCCCCTGGTTCCGGATGCTGCACAGAGAGGATCAGCCAGTTCACGTCACTGGGCCTCGCACGACCGGCTGTAAGCACAGAACCCCTCGCCCGTGCGGGCCCAGCGCAGGTCACCGAGCCTTCCCACGTTGGTTCCTGCCACTCTCGCGCAACCTGCCCAGGCAGCCACCCTGCTCGCTGCTGGCTAAGCGAGAGCCCTGACCATTACCCTCTCTCTGACCCCGGACGTCCTCACTCACAGCATGAGCAGGTGGCACCCGGCCAGGGTGTCCAAGCTGCCGCAGCCAGCGCAGCAGAGCCAGGGCTCTCGCGGGAGCTGGGAGGGCGTGGGAGCCTGATGCGAGGCCCGCCCCCCGCCCCCCCCCCCGGCTGCCCCCAAGGCAGCTCTGCGTGGTGTGCCGGGCGGGCGGATGGGGGTCAGCGACCGAGCAGCCCGGCCACACCGCCAAGCGCCGCTCCGGTGCCCCCGCGCGGCCTCACCTGGCCCCGACACGGCGCTGCCCTCCTTTTCCAGGGATGTCTGGGGCCATTCAAGGCCACCTCCCCCGCCGGTCTGAACCCCGGTCCCTGCGGCTCTCCAGGCCAGTGCTTCCACACCTTGATTCTGCGATGCAGGCCAGGCCTCTCCTGAGGACTCCAGACTGCTGTTCCTTGGCACAGGGTCTCCCCCTCAGAGCCCTGGCCCGACGTCCTCCTGAATTCTCCGTGCAGTGAGACGGCACGTGCCAGCCCACCCATCTGGAACGTCCTCACCCGCCAGCCTCGCCGTCCTGCTCTCAACCAGGCCATGGTTATCTCCGGATGCGTTTGCCAACTGCCAGTGGCAGGCCGGGGGCTCCTCCTGGGCCCTCCCTCAGGAGCCGATGACCCCACTTCTCTCCAGCACCCCTTCCCTGCACCAGGCTGCCTGCTGCCTGGCCTCTCCCACCAGCTGTGAGCCCGAAGGAGGCAGGGCCCACACACGTCTCCTTTGCTCCCACGTCCCCATCACATGCCTGGTGCCACAAAGACCCTCGTGAAGTATTTAAGGAACAAAAAAAGGTAAGAAATCCTCTTTTCCTTTAAGCATTAAGATTTGAATACGTGTGAATATGAACACCACCCCCCATCACCCAGTTCAGCCAAATTATTCCTTTTTACCGAAAGTCTACACCCTGTCATCTTTCTTAAGTGTCATGGGCTGACCCGTGTCTCCCCCCAAATCCCTATGTTGGAGCCCTGACCCCCAGGACCCCAGAATGTGAACCTATCTGGAGAGTGGGTCTATTAAGAGTAAGCAAGGTGGCACGGGGTCACCAGGGTGGGCCCTGAACCCGTGTGACTGGGGTCCTTGTAAGAAGAGGGGATCAGGGGCGCCTGGATGGCTCAGTCGGTTAAGCATCCGACTTCGGCTCAGGTCATGAACTCACGGTTCATGGGTTCAAGCCCCGCATCGGGCTCTGTGCTGACAGCCTGGAGCCTGCTTTGGATTCTGTGTCTCCCTCTCTCTGCCCCTCCCCCCCTCAACGCTCTGTCCCTCTCTCAAAAATAAATAAATATTAAAAAGAAAAAGAAGAGGTGATGAGGACCCAGACACGCGCAGAGGACGACCCCGTGAGGGCACAGGGAGAGGACGGCTGTCCACGCACTAGGAGAGAGCCCTCAGGGGAACCCAGCCCTGCCCACGCCTGGACCTCGGGCTCCGGCCTCCGGGACGGGGACGGTGGCTGTCTGTTGTCCACGCCTGTCTATGGTATCTGTCCCGGGGCCCAAGCTCACTAATGCACCAAGCCTCCTTCTTCCTGGAAACGGGGCAGCCTCCCGTCTCCAGCCTCGACTGTCCCCCACTTGTGCAAGAGGGGATCTCAGCACGTGCTTGGCTGTGTCTGCCGAGGGCCACCCTGGGCATGCCTGGGGACCAGACAGCTGCAAGCCCCGCCAGGCCGGCCACCCCGCTCCTCACCTGCAGCGTGTAGAGGTACGGCAGCCAGACGCAGTCCCCCCAGCCCAAGTACCACCCAAAGTGGTCGTGGCAGATGTCAATGGTTTTCAGGTACCAGGCTTCGTTCCAGAAGAAGTCCAGCACGTAGATGGCCTACAAAACAGGACCCGTCACGTGCCGGCCACGGCCACCAAGGGGCCCCAGGGAAAACCACGCCCGCGTAGATGAGGAGATGGCACACAGGGTGTCGCCGAGCTCCTCAGTGACATGCTCCACGGGGCTGGGACGTGGGGGGCCCGGGAGGCCAGCGAGGGAGCCCTTAGCCTGAGAGAGCCTGCCGTCTAAGCGGATGAGGGCCCACAGTGACCGAGAGGGACACCCAGCAGTGCCCCGGCCGGTGATGCCCAGGCTGTGGCGCTCGGAGAGCAGGTCGCGCACCGTGGAGGCGCTGGGGACAGCCCACGGGGAAGGTGCCCCACACACCAGGGCCCACGCCGGCATGGAAGTCCTCCGCCCGGCCGCCCCTGCAGCCGGCACAGCCAGGTGGCCAGCGGCCTCGTACACAGGTGGGGAAAAGGTGAGAATGAACCCCTCACACCCCGCCTGAGACCCACGGGGACCACGTGGGGAAGACGCTTCAGAGGCCACAAACCGTGAACGTGGCCAGGACCACGACACCCTTGAGCTGTTAACAGGCGTCTCCCGGAAAGAGGCCCCAAGCCCAGTGAGGCCGCAGGGCCAGCGCGGCGCCCGGCAGACAATGAGGGACCTTTCGCTGCGTGCTCGCTAGCCCGCTCCCCAGAGACGCACGGGCAGGGGCCCGACTCCCTTCTAAGAGCAGTGGAGTGAGGTTCTTCAAGACGCATCTGGCTTTCAGGATTTCCCGGGGCCCAGCAAGCCTTGGAGCTCCCTCCCCCTTGGCCGCAGACAGGCTACCTGCAGGACGTTGACCAGGACCATGGCGTTGGTCACTTGGCCGTAGAGCTCCCGCTGCTTGGCTGCAAAGGACAGGTTGATGAGGGTCCAGGCAACGATCCCAGGGCGTCCGTTGAAAAACAGCTTGAAGTCGAACCACTTCCCGATTCGGGGGTTAAACTCAATGCCCATCATGTAGTCGTAAAAGAAATTGCCCGTGAATTTGCTTGAAAAAGAAACAGCAGATACGTTTCGCTAAGGAGCCCGTCTCGCGACAAGGGGCCCGTGTGTGCACGTGGACGAGGGTATCGAGCCTGGCCCTTGCGTCAGCTCAGGGATGCGGGCAGCCGGAGGACGCACACCGGTCCCTCTCGCTTCCCAAGGCCTCCCTGCTCTCCCTTAGCACTCGGCTACGGCCCGGCAGAGCCACCCCGAGACCTGGCACCTGAGGTGCTCACTGCGTCCCACGAAAGCGCACACTTTCTGCTTAAGTCTTCCCTCAACCAGCTGGGCTTCTCCCCACCCTCCCCCAGGCCCCCTTGAGGCCTGGCGTGGCTGAGCTGCATAACTGGCTTGACTTCACGAAGATTTCGTTGCATAGCCAAGCATGTAGTTTGCGGTGACTCCCGGTGCCCGGGTCCCCACGGGCAAGTGAAATTATAAATCCCGCCAGGTAGAGGGTGAGCAAGGGTGGCGAGTCCAGAGCAAGGTGCCTGGCTTGGGGGCCCACCACTAACCCTTGCTGGACATTCGTTGCCCCGGTTCCTCCCCCACAGCCCTCCCCAGGGGTGACCAGAGAATCAGCCAAGATGACTGATATGGAGACCCTCCTCGCGAATAACTTGCAGACACATAGGGGTTTCTGTGTTAATGGCAAAAACATTTTCACGTCCACGTGCCTCAGTTATGTTAAGTAAAAAAAGCAAAATATACTAAGTCTACAACAGGTGATTGATCATAAAGCAGCAAAGACGATTAGCATGAGCCACAGAAGATCAGCCTCATTACCTAATTACCACACAGACCACAAAGCACCGTCATCCAGAGACATTTCCCAAGAGCAAGAGTTAAAGGAAACACATTTTCTTTTTATTTGGGCCCCTAAATGTATTTGGGACTAAAATGTAGGCACCCAAGCATAAGAATCTTGTTTGTGACTGCTTACACCCATCTACAGGAGGAACCCAACCAACATCTGTTGTTGGAGGGAGGGATGGATGGAGGGATTGAAGGAGCCAGGGATGAAGGATAGGGGTGAACAGGTGGATGAACAAGTGGGATGAATGGAATAGATGGATTGAATGGTTAGATGGGTAGGTAGGTAGATAGATGGATTGACGGGTGGATGCATTAGATGGGTGGGTGGGTAGGTGGGTTAGATGGATGGGTGGATGGATGATGGTGGATGGATGGGTGAGTGGATAGATGGAAGGATGGGTAGATGGATGGATAGGTGGGTGGATGGATGATGGTGGATGATGGTGGAGGGATGGGTGGGTGGATAGAGGATGGATGGGTGGGTAGGTGGGTGGATGGGTGGATGGATGGAGGATGGTGGATGGATGGGTGGGTGGATGGATTAGATGGATGGGTGGATGGATGATGGTGGATGGATGGGTAGATGGATGGGTGGGTGGATGAATGCTGGTGGATGGGTGGGTGGATGGGTTGGATGAGTGGCTGGGTAGGTGGGTGAATGGGTGGATGGGTGGATGGATGGATGATGGTAGGTGGATGGGTGGGTGGATGGATGGATAAAGAGCTAGGTGAAGAGAAGGCTGGCTGTGGGGAGCACAACCCAAGACTTCCATGAGAAGGCAACAACCAGTAGGGCTCTCCCTGGGAAGTGCTACACTGAAGCCACCGAGATGACCACACTCCTCACTAAGATTGTTTCAGGCCACACTCATGTTCCCAAATGGAAGCAACGGGCTGACTTCCCTGCTCCCGTGACAGCCCTACGGGTGACGACTCGGCCAAAGATGGACTTGGCCACCTTCAACTGCATGCTTCCTAAGGCGGAGGAAGGCCCCCAGACACATAGAAAGGATGTTCCCCAGAATCAAGTGGGGATTCCATCAGGCTCCCCCTTCAAGGATTCTCGATCCTCAGGGCTTCACGGCTCCTATCCCAAGGTCACAGAGAAAGGTTAGGGGTGGAAGCATCCACATCCCACGTTAGGCTTGACCAGCCACCGAAGAACGTACCAGTCTTTGGCATTGGTGGGGAAGAAGTAGCCCTTGATCATTGCGAAGGTGGAAACCGCGTAGCCGAGGATGTTGGCGCACCACAGCAGCGGTATCCAGTTGTCGAAGATGATGGTGGGGGAGAACAGCGACAGGAAGTGCGAGTTTGCAAACCAGAGAAGGTGCGTGATGAGCCACGCCTGCAGGCCGTTGATTTCATACTTGTTAGTAACCCCTGCAGAGCGACGATTTAAAAATCAAAGTGTTTCCGCTTCAAAACGGGCGGCCAGCCCAGGCCCTACTTGCTTTCTGGGCCTCGGCTGCTGCTCGGGGACCCGTCTGGGACACCCAGGCCAAGGCCCGGAAGCCGGTCAGCTTCCCCTACAGCTCGGGGCCCCGGGTCAAAATGCCAGCAGCACACATCACGCTGTTAGTCTGGGGATTAACTGCTCCTGCTTTCGGGGTCCTTGGACGAGGGAACGGGCAGACTCACCCTTTGGTTCTGATTCTCCCTAGTGAGCTCCGGCTGGGGGGCCAGTGGGTGGGTAGGTGGGTGAACGGGTGGATGGATGGATGCAGTTCGCTAGGGAGTGAGGATGCCCCTAACATACTTGTCAGCAAGCACCACAGCCTCCCCGCGGCCCTGGGGGCTGTCTGCAGGCAGGGACAGGGGTGGCGTCCCCCCCTGCAGGGCTCTGGGTGACCTGAACAGGAGCCACCCCTCCTGGACGCCGCTGGTGGCTGCGGTGTTCTCGGTGGGGAGATGCTCCAGGATCCCAGCTGTGACAACGGGCCGTGGGGCCGGGGACCACTCAGCCCTCTGTTCACCGAAGGGCCTGATGTTCCAACTCACGGCCGGGTCAGTCCCAGGCTGCCCTGAGACGACTGGGGCCCGGGGCCGCGGCAGTGGCCGAGCAAAATTCACACTCATTTTGTCACTTTGTCACACTTTCAAGTGTGAGCACACCTGGGGACGGGAGCCGCCTGGGAGAGGGCAGGCCCCATGAGACAAAGAGGCAGGGAGAGGAGAAGGGAGGCCCGCGGGCTCAGGTTACCTGCGGGGGTCACGGCGCCCTCTTGAACGCCTCCCACGTAGCCGGGCAGGAACTTATGGCAGAAGTCAGGCAGCGCCGAGTACAAAAGCACCTGCGGTGGGGATTTTAAGCTGCTTGACCCATGGCCTGGGGGTTCTGCTCGACCCTTGCTTTCGTTAACCGATGCGACCCGTGGCAGAAATCCAGGTTACAGTCGGGTACTCCTTCCGGAAGTGTGTGGCTCTGGAGCCCTGGCGGCAGGCAGGCAGGCCGGCCGGGGGCTCTGAAGGGGGAGGAGCCCCGAGCAGGAAGTTCATTACTGGCCCAAAGCAGCAATGCAGTCTCCCTGCAGGAGAGCCCACGAGCCCTTCCCACTCACGTTTCTGGAGCCATTTAAAAATTTGCAAGAATTCCCGGCCGTACAAGTCGCCCTCGTGACACGTTTTCGGTGTCATTTAGCGCATTTACACAGTGAGCAAGCACCACCACCCGGACACATTCACCACCCCCATTAGCAGTCGCTCCCCAACCCCTCCCGCTGCCCCCCCAACAACCATTAACCCACTTTCTGTCTCTACGGACTTTCGCACCCTGGTGTTTCACATAAATGGAATCACGGCGCCCTGGGGCCTTCCGTAACTGGCTCCTTTCACTCAGCGAATGTTCTCAAGGTCCATCCACGCTGTAGCACAGGTGAGTGCTTCCTTCGGATGGCTGCGTAACGTTTGTTTTAGCCGCTAGGCCTCTGATATCTCTACTTTTAGGCTTCTGTGATTCCTGCTGCCCTTTCTCATCTTTTCACCCAACGGGACCAAGAGACCAGAAATGAGAGGGGCTCAAACGCCCACAAGCTGGCACCCTGAGGAGACACCGCGACGAACGGCTGGAGCTTTCCTCTAGGACAGGAAACCCGGGGTGTGGAGGGAGCCTTCTCCCGCCATCTTTTCCCTGGATTCAGATGATAAACAGCTCTCCCTGTTCACCAGGTCCTCTGTGCAAACAGCTCCTTCCTGGTGAACTTCTGGTCTCAAAGGCCAGTGGGGTCACAACGGAGTCGAGGACGTCCGTGGCCAGGACCGTGTGGCCACCTGCTGGGAACACAGGCCTTGGCTTTGCCGAGTGGGGTCTCTCGTAACCGAGAGCGTACCTCTGGGGGCCAGAATGCTCCTTCTCAGGGGCTACTGGTAAGATACGCTTCCCGTCGTGCATGGGGCTTCCCCGGGCCAGCCCTGCCTCACTCCCTCCCACAGGGTCTCGCTCCCTACTTCTCGGCATGTCCCTGCAGGGCTGCACACGCCCCTGAACTACGGGGAGGCTCCCACTGAAGGTGCGTCAGACACCGTGATGCCCTGCCGGGTCCCGGGAAGGAGAACGCCAACCCGAGCCCAGATCCCATTTCCAGGACCAACGGCCAGGCCTCTCCCGGCCGGAGGGATGCCGCACGCCCGCCGTGCCCCAGCCACCCTCCAGGGAGGCTGACCTGGAACGTGACCCACAAGGCGTAGAGCTGGGCCGCTTCCTTCGTCACGGCCGGCGTCTTGGCCCAGATGTCTGCGAGACGAGCGCGCCCGGTGGCGAGGTCCACCACGGGGGCAGTGAGGGAGCAGCCGTACTGGTCACATGCCATGATGAAGTAGTATACGATGAAAGGGGCCAAAAGCAGCAGAAAGAGAACGCTGGCCAGCGAAAACCAGTCCACCTCCCTGCAACAGCAGATGGCAGGCGGTCACGCGGGGGCCCCCCCTGGCCGTGTGGCCTCCTCGACAACGCACCGCACGTGCGGACGGGTCCCGTTGTTTCCAACAGCCGTTCGCTCTCGGTGCAAAGGGCTCCCCATTGCCTGCAGGAACCGCTCAATGTGTGTGCTTCACTGCCAGCTCCGGGGAGGCTGACAGATCTGAGGACATCCACAGGAAGCCCGGAGCCCGGAATACGAACGCTGGGAGGCCTTTCGCGACCCACAAGGCCAGAGGCTCTCCGGTTCCGGGCCGCGGGGGCCACTCACCCACTCCCGAGTCCCCACGCCCTCCGATCCAAGGAGGATACAGACAACAGGATACTGCGCCACCAGAGCCAGCCCATTTTAGCCAGCTTTTCATTCCTTCTCCAATCCCTTACTTTACAAAACGGGCGACGGCTTATCTCTCATTAGTCTTAATGATAAAACTCGTGTTTTTGATCAGGTCCGTAAGATCCCAAGGGTGGGCTACCTCTCACTAAGATCTCACTCCATTTTCTAGTTGGGAAGACTGTCAAGGCCTTACCAGGCACGGCCCCACTGCCCCTGAGTGGCAGCCCCACCGTTGGCAAAGCTGTCCCGACTCTTGGTTTGGGGAGCGTCGGGCTGGGACTTTGCAGCCATTGGGCCCTGAGGAAAGAAGACACATCCTACTCAGGTCGGAGATAATGGTGGCTGGGAGAGAACAGCCACCATTATCTCCCACATCTGCCCCTGCTCGGAACTTCTGCAGGACTGGCTCTTCTACTAGCCTACTCGCTACCTTGTTCTAGATGGCAGGTTCCAGGCAGGGAAGAGATTGTAGACTGCACTTCAGTCTCTCTCTCCTGGAATCTGCAATAACCTCCCACCTGGCCCTCCTACTTCTCTCGCTCATCTTGATTAATTCTCCAGGTTGCGGCAGAACGCCCTCTTACCGCATGAACCGGGTGGGTCAGCCATGGCTCAGAGGCCTCTTGCGATCCGCTCCTGCCTGCTTTCCCCCCCACCCCTCTCTCCTCATACCTTCCAATCCAGGCACACGGGGTCTTTAACGCCCCTTGGATATGGTTCATCTCGTTCATGACACCTGCTGCTTCTGCTTAGAACTTAATTTACAGGTCTCCTCATTCGGGACTTTTGTAAAATGGCCCCTCCTTAGTGTGACTTTTTATATTTCCTGGAGTTAATGGGCGCCCCACTTTTTCCATCTGTGAAGATTTCTATGCGTCTATCGCTAACATTTTTTTGTGAATGCTCTACCACAGCTAATGTACATACCAGCAACTTTTCTACATATTCAAACACAATAAAATTTATCATTTCCATGCCCCCTCTCCCCCATAGACATTCATCTTGAACCAATATACAAGCCAATCAGTGCTTCTACACTGCCTGTAGTCCCCTGCTGAGGCACTCCACCTGCTACTTTATTTTCTCATGTTCTCATTATGTAGAATTCTTTAATTTATTTGAGTGTGTGTCTATTGACTGTCTCCCTCCATTAGAATGTAAGCTCCCCAAGGGCAGGAACCACGTGTCCTATCCACTGCTCTACTACCAAGTCCTAGGACAGTGCATTCAATAAATAATCACTCTAAAAAAAAAGGTGAAAGAACTGAACTTGTCCAAGGGGGAAGCAGTGACATCTACACTTCCAGAATAAGTTCTAACAGTGAAGTTTCATTGGAGGTAAGAAAACATGATTTTAAAGGCTTTTAGAGAAAAGCTCTAAAAGAGGGGCGCCTCTGTGGCTCATTCGGTTGAGCATCTGACTTCCGATTTTGGCTCAGGTCATGAAATCATGGTCATGGGATTGGGCCCCATGTCAGGCTCTGCACTAACCATGGAGCCTGCTTGGGATTCTCTCTCTCCCTCTTTCTCTCTGCCCCTCCCCCTTCCAAATATATAAACATTTAAAAAAAATCCAGGATTAAGAATCGTATCAGCAACCAGTTGGATTCTAGAAGACAATGATGGAAAACTTTAAAAACTTTGAGGGAAACTTTTTTGCAACCTAGAATTCTATTTGCAGGTTAATTATTATTCGGAGAAGACACAGGATCCAAGAAAACTACAAAAAGAAAGCCGAGAGAAAGGATGAGGGGATGAGAACTGTGCAGTGCACCAGACAGTAACCAGTCCACCTTGGTGCAAAATGAATGGCTACAGCAGGAGGGAGAATGGAAATGATGAATTTTATTGTGTTAGAGTGTGTAGAAAAATTATGGATATATATGAAGCTCTGTTATAGCATTCAGAAAAAAAATAATGACAGATGCATAAAAACCTGAGTTTTTAAGTGGAAAAAGTGAGGCAATCACGAACTCCAGGAAAAATCAAAAGTCACACAAAGGGGAAAAACAACAACAAACACCATAATTGTAGTACGTTAGTTGGCTTAACAGTAAATACTAGCAACTTTGTCATAACAACGTAATATCTGGCTACAGGCTGGTAGATGTTTGGATGCAGAAGGACATGTGAAGTTGGGAGTGACAAAAGCAAATCATTTAAAAATAAGCGGGTATAAACAGCAACACAGAAGTAACTACAAGAATGAAAAGTATTTGCTTCTGGGAACGAAGACTATGGGATGAAGTAGGGAGCTGTTTATTCTATGCATCAGCCTTTTAACACTAATTTCTTTTGGAAAAATGTCTTTTGGAAAAAGTACTTTAATACAAAGGTACATTTGTTAAAAAAAATTTCAGCGACAAAAAGCATTTTCATTTGCAGTGTGGGAACTGTACCTGTTATCACTTAATTTTCACAGGTTAGTTTATGGAATGTCTGTCTATGATGTACAAGGCAGGGTGAAGAACTCTTTATGGACCTTCCAACTCTACAGCCCCAAAACCGAATACAGAGCCTGGTGCATGGCAGTCACCTTGATTAAACATGGTAGAAAACTGCAAAACGGCCAGAAACCTATAGGCTCGGAACTAAGTGTGGTAGGGGCGTCTGGCTGGCTCAGTCAGTGGGGCATGAGACTCTTGATCTCAGGTTGTCAGTTTAAGCACCACGTTGGGTGTGGATCCTACTTTAAAAAAAAAAAAAAAAAAGAACTAAGTGTGGAAAGGCCAAACAGAAAACGCTGCTAAAAGAAAAAAGTGTATCTTCTACAGGTTAAAATAAGGCCAAATAAGTATTTTTTGAGATTATAGAATTCATTCACCCAGGAGTCCCCTCAGGCATAAGCAATGAATCCTATAATCAACATGTAAGTCATATTCTTGGCAAAAGGTATGTGGAAACAGGGGAGAGGGAGGTATTTGGGGTATATTTTATTTTGTTCCTAAGACTCACAGACAGGAGTTGATGAACCAGCTGTCTACTTTTCCAAAGCTAAAAAGTCACTGTCTATGCCCATGAACAACAGTGCTGAGACATGCTTACCTCCAACCTCTTGTGTAGGGATTTCACAACAGAATTGAAGTCTTCCTTCTTGAATGGGCCGCTCTAAAATCTCTAGACTCTTATGATTCACAAGGCCTGCTTGACCCTTCTCAACCCACTGAACAAAGTCCTGCAGGGACACAAAGATGATAAATACATCAGGTTGCTGACATTTCAGGACCGAAGGTAGATCAGGACCCACACAGTATTTATTCAAGGTCTGGTGGAACCAAGCGAGAAGTACAAGGTCAGTGTGCCAAGGTTCAAAAGTGGAAGACAGCCCACACGGGAGGGGAGGAGGAAGGGAGTATTACCACCCAGCTTCTTTGCCTGGTACACACAGTACCTGGCAAATGGTAGGTACTTGATGACAATGGGTGGCACTGAATAGAGATCTCCATGGAAAGCGTCACCTCAGACATGAGCCTTAACAGGCAGCTGCAGACCTGACGGACAGCAATGAACCAAAAGGCATTTCCTTTGAAGACTTATACCAAGCGGCCGCGTATTCCTCTGCAACATTACTAGAAGCTTGCTCATGCGTGCATCAGCCCGAATCAAGCCCCCTAGAGTTAGCACATTCCATTGGTACATTCTAGGAGCCAGTGAGAGCCTAAGAACACAGAGCAGCAGCAAGAGTGACCTGGGCTTGGAGCCTGGCCCTCTGTACACTCGCGGGACCCAGTGACCTTCCTGAGTGTCTGGGGTCATGAATGCCTATGCGCATGAGGTTCTGTTATTAAAGCTGGATGAGGGATGGTTAGTGTCCCACACTAAAGATGAGCCAGGGAAATGGATGGGGCTTTCCGGCACCCTGGTCAGCTCTCTCAACTGGTTTTTTAGTTCCACGGGCCAAAGCTAAAGGGACATCGGTCCTGAGGGTCTGAGGATGACGCAGTATAAGTGCCTGACCTCAAGCTTCTGACTGCCAAGGCATTTGTGGCAAAGACATCCATCCCAAATAAACATATTGCTGCTGCTTGACCCAGCTACCAGCAAAACGACCAGAGAAGGAACCAGGCCACTCCCACCCTTTCAGAAAGCCCTAGAAGACCAAGATGGCTGACCGCTGCAGGATTCACTTCTTCCCAAGCCCCTATTCCCACTCTTATGTTTTAACTGGCCAATAAAGAGTGACCCATGAAACCTCAGGCCTCCACCCTTGAGCCTAAAGAAGGCAGAGCCCCAGATCTATACACACACACACTCTCTCTCTCTCTCTCTCCCCACCCATGAGCTCACTGTGGCTCTGGGCATTCTGCGTACCCTCCAGGACCTGTGAGTGATAAACCTTGCTCCTCGGAGCTCCCCAGTGCTTGTTGCTAAGGTGGGTCCTGCAATTATAAGGACCCAAAGGATGATCCAGCCATGCTGGTGGGGAGGGGGGACTCGCCACAGTAACAGGAGCCCAGGAGGGTGCCTCGGGCATTCCCGCCCACAGCATCACTATCTATGGGCTGAGACCCACACAACAGATGACTTAACAGCTTTTTGGCATCTTGAAGATATAGTAATTTGGGGATGCACTAGACACCAGGACCATGGCAGAGATCCTGGGGGCTGGTGCAGTAAATGCCCGGGGGGTCCCTCGGTCACCATCAAGGCTGTGAGTTCTCAGCAGGACCGGATCCTGCTGCTCGCTTAGAATTCGACTTGTGGCGACACTCGCCAGGCCTGTTTTCCTCATCCACAAAGCAGCTGCCACCCACTTACTCAAGGATATGAGGTCATGGCACCGAGTGCTCAGAGCCCTCCCGGACCCCATAAATTCCTATGAGTAGATGCTGGGTGGACAGGCAGGTCTACCCGGCCTCTGGAAAGAACTGTCTTCGCACCAGGAGAGCAGCTAATCACCCTCTCACAGATTCTGATCTTTATCATCCGTTTTCATCCTAGGTTCAGTTTGGGCAGGTCTGTATTTCTCAGTCTCTATTACTCTCAGACTAACAAGTCTCCAAACCCGACCGGGTGCTGTTCAGAGAAGGTTCCAAGAAACGCTCTTGGCTGCCTGCTAGAATAGTACCTGGCATTGCACCCAGGAAGATTAGCTGTTATCAGCAGTTATTCTGAACTTTACAACAGGCCTCTCACGGCCCCTGTTTCTCATCGCCCATAACCCAGCTATTCATGTATTTTTGGGGAAAAAAAACAAGCCAGACTCGGACTTCAAGCCATATCACAAAGCTGTCATCATCAAGAAAGTATGGTATTGGCACAAGAACAGACACTCAGGTCAATGGAACAGA